TCTCTCTCCTCTCTCTCTCTCTCTCTCTCCTGTCCCCTATCTCCCCCCTCTCTCTCTTTCCCTCTCCCTCTTTATCCTCTCTCCCTCTCTCTCTCTCCCTCTCTGTCCCTCTCTCCCTCTCCTCTCTCTGTCCCTCTCTCCTCTCCTCCCTCCCCCCTCACTCTCAAAAACAAAACAAAACAAAGCAAACTCAACCAACTCTGACCAGCATATGCAAGAGCACCGAATGGACGGAATGAGGGCGTGAGGGCGAGCTGTTACATAATCGTAGGCGGAGGACCGGCAGCCGGCCAGAGAAGACAGTAATTACAGCAATGCACGCGAGGGAGAGACGGCCAAGCCCTGGACGAGCGACAGCGGGAAGGAAAATCAATAGGAAAACTACGCAACGAGGTCAACGTCTCTCTTGGTTAATTGTGTGTCCGTTGCAAAGCGTGTGGCGACGGAAACGCGGGGTGAAGTATGTGCTATCGTGCTGTTATTGTTGTTTTTATTATTGTTATTATTATAATTATCATTATTGTTGTTGTTGTTGTTGTTGTTGTTATTATTATTTTCATTATCATTGTTATTATCATCATTATCATTTCTTTATTATTATTATTATTATTGCTATCATTAGTAACATTACTATCATTATTATCATTATTCTTATTACTATTATCATTAATATTATCATTATTATTCATTATTGTTATCATTATTATTATTATCATTATTACTTATATTATTATTTTTACTACTATTATCTTTATTGCTATCACTATTATTGTCATTATTGTCATTATTGTCATTATTATTATTATTGTTATTATTATTATTACTATCATTATCATTATTATTGTTATTAATAATATTATTATCATTATTATTGTTATCATTACAATTATCATCATTATTACTATCAATATAATTATTCTACGGTTAGAACAGAAGACATCGTTATTATTACAGTTCAAGATTATAATCTGCATCTGCTTACTTATCACAGGCTAATACCCAAGACAACACTGTCGTAAAATAAATAAATAAAAAAATATATATGAATTAACAAATAAGGAAATCTGAAAGAACATATGACCTTTAAACAACTAAGCACATATGAAGCAAAAAATCAATCGCAATTAAATAAGTGAGATTAAAACAACTAAATATGGTAATAAGGAGGAGGAGGAGGAGGAGGAGGAAAAGACGAAGAAGAAGGCGAAAAAAGAAGAATGGAAGGAAGAAGAAGAAAGAAAAAGAATAATAATAGAAAGAAAACGAAGGAACAAAACAAAAAGAAGGAAGAAGAAAAAACACAAAGAAGAAAAGAACAAGAAATAGAATAATAAAAAAAAAGAAATAGAATAATAAGAAAAATAACAATAAGAGAAATAATAATAAGGAAAATAACAATAAGAAAAATAATCGAACAGCAGCCCGGACAGCCCAGGAACCGCGCAGATCTCCCTCCTCCTCCTGAGTGCATCTCCGCGCGGCGTCCTCGCAGCTTCCCATTACTTTTGTCTCGCGTCTGTTTTGTATGCTAATGGAATTTGTGTCTGTGGCTGTGATTGCGCTTCTGGCCCCGCGATCATCAAGAAGTTCCACTCTCACCCTCGTCGACGCGGGAGGAGAGGAGAGAAAGAGAAGACAAAATCAAAATTCGGATGATTATGAGAAGAGGGAGACACCGAAGCCAAGAGCGGTGTGGCGAGGGGAGGAGTCGGGTGGTGGTTAGCGGTCCGGCAAAGGAGGTTGGGGATTGGTCTGTCTGTCTCTTTGTATGTTTGTCTGTCTCTTAGTGTGTCTGTCACTTTAGCTCTGCCTTTTTAATTGTCAGTCTATCTGTCTGTCTGTCCGTCCGCCTGTCTGCTCTCTCTCTCTCTCTCTCTCTCTCACACACACACACACACACACACACACACACACACCTCATTAATTAGTACCGATGATTATATCAAACATCATCATCACTGTACTTACTAGCATTTATTTGTTATCACGAAGAGTATCATTATTCCCTCAAAAGTTTCAGCAATTTCCTGCCATCGATATTCTAAGACGCGGATGAAGTAATTTGATTTTCTGAGACGAGATAACAGGATCCAGATATTTACTCAGCTTTAATGGGATTAATTATGAGAAAAGACTTACCTGCAGTCTTTTGAAAGTTAAGCAAGGGATAAAAAACCCGTATGTGTGCGTGCGTGAGTGTGTGTATGCGTGTAGTTTGTGTGTGTTTGTGTATATATATCTGTGTACGTGAAGGTATATGTGCTTATCTTTGTCTGTGAGTGTGTGTGTGTGTGTGCGTGTATGTGTGTATGTATGTGTGTGTGTGTGTTTGTGTGTTTTTTTTTGTGTGTGTGTGTGTCGGCTGTGTGTATGTGTGCATCCATGTGCGTATCACCCCCACCTACCTTGGAAGCTGAACCAGAGGTTGACCAGGAAGGGGTGGCTGAGCGAAGCCAGAATCTCTATCTCCCTGAAGACGTTGCTCAGAGCGTCCCGCGCC